TTTTTAAAAAATATTTTCAATTTCAAAAATTATTTTCTACTCTAGTAATAAAAGATATTTCTCAAAAATATTTTTGATTCAAAAACCAGACACTAAAAATCTTTTCTCCTCACCAACCAAACATGAGAAAATAAATAAAAAATCTATTTGTTTTTCTAGGAAAACATTTTCCTTCATACCAAACACAGCCAATATGTTTGATAAATGTCTCAAGAGAACTATCCGGAACAAGTCCATCAAGTCAAAGTTGAATTTACATTGTGTCTTTAAGAAACTTAATCCCCTTCTAGTAGTACCCGAGGTATTTGTGTAGAGTGAACTCAAAGAACAACTAAATCACAGTTAGATCTTACTTTTCACCAATTACAGAAATTAAGCATTCTAATTCCTAAGCTTTTGCTAATACAAAGATCTTTCCACACCAAAATGAAATTCCCTTGTTTTCTGTTTTCCAATGTAACAATAATGACCCCAACAAAGCAAAGTTTTAGTTGAACAATGGTTTAGTTAAATAAATATTGACCCTTGTATCTATCTGTATGTATAATGAAATTTAGAGGTTCACTGAACCAACGGGAGAGATTCTATAATGGAGTTCTGAGAAGAAAAGTAAGTAGACTCACTAAATATATGGGTGTCTAAGCTTTTGTTGGGCATATATTCATATAATAAGATCTTTTCGTTCTCCTCGATGCAGTAGCCCAAAAGTCTGACTAGATTTCTGTGTTGGAGTTTGGCAATTAACATTACTTCGTTTTTAAATTCTTCTGCACCTTGACTAGAATGACTTGACAACCTCTTAATTGCCATTTCTTGTCCTTGAGGGAACTTACCCTGTACGTACAATATTAGCTGTAGTTAGAAAAATGATTTTAAAAATGGTACATGTGAGAATCACCACCACCTTGTAAACAGGGCCAAATCCACCTTGACCAAGCCTGTTTGCATCTGAGAAGTTGTCCGTAGCGACTAGTATGCTTTCCAAGTTGAAAAATGGGATATCGATCCGTTTCTTATCATCTTCGGTTACCAAATATTTAGATGAACCTCCACACTCGGACAAGTACTCTATCCCATTCCCCAAACTTATTTTCTTGGCTTCTCATTACATAAAGTGAGTTCAAAATTAGCACCAAATTCACAATACATATATCATTTATATAAAAGCTTGTGCTATTTGTTACCTTTCCTTCTTGCCACCTTTTTTCTATGGTAGATTACATAGCAAATGGTTATGGTTATAGTTCCAGCAGCAGCTACACTGACAGAAATAATCAGGACTTTGAGATTCAAGGATGTTGCCTTCTCTCCACTCCATCCTCTTTGTCCTACATGCTCTGAACCAAACGAAATTGAAACTTGCGTAGGTGAATAAAATGGAGGATACAACTAAAAGGATTTGTCGGTGGTGATCCACACCTTGTTAGGTATGCAAACAAAGTTTCCCATTGATAGTTGAAAAGTTTAAGAATGTGTCAAATTCTGACTTCTTGTTGCAACCACGAACTGACTTTCTTGAACAACCATCAGTACAAGTCCCAACCGTCCATTCATCTGGAGAATCAGGGTCAAATCCTGGCAAACACTTGCACCGAGACATAAACCCACTGTTGCAAATTCCAAATTTCCCACAACTTTCATTCACATCGCATGGATCTTGTGGTTCTGACCATATTTGTAACCACCCTGTACTCTCGTTACTCCAGCCATATAATTGTATTTCCCCTGAGGAATTCAGTAGTAGCCTTGTGTAATTAAAGTCTGGCACAGATGAAACATCATCAGTCGGTGACTTGTTCAATTTCGGGGTATATTGTTGTTCTGTATTGAAACTGAAATTGGTTAACATTGATCCCACAAGAGAGGGCAGTTCCCTGGAACTAAAGGGCTTAGCAGAAACAGAGGCTTTCCAGTGAAGGCCCCTTTTTTGGGATAGTATGTTGTACTCAAATTTGGTTGCTGTATTTTGCCGAAACGTGTAATCTCCAGTGCTGGGATCCTCTTGGGTAACCCTCCAAGCAGTCAACTTCAATGCACTGTCCATGTTCATACCAGGAAGGAAGGTGTCAGTGGGGTTGTCAAAACTTTGCCACAATCTCTTGCCTGACAATTCATCAATTAAAACCAAATTTCCTGAGTCATAGAGATTTGCTGTACGCTTAGAAGAAGATGCACTAACGAGTCCTGTTGAAAAGTAAGAGTTCTTCTTTGAGTCCAACACTTTGAGATTACCATCCACATCAATGCCAATAGCCAAAATTTCATCTGATACGGGAATTGGTCTGTCCCTATTGGCAACCCACACAATAGTTTTGGGACTCACCCGGTACCATATGCCAACATAATTTCTAAGTTTTCCGTCTTTAGATCGTGTGTTGAAGAGTCCCAGCTCGAATATCTGTCCAGCTGACACAAGAGTTTTCCTTTTGTTTTTTAATATGTTCCTTGAAGTTATGATGTCCCTAGAATCACATTTGAAGTGACTCAAATACAGCAAGAATACAAACAAGAAGACACTAGTAGACTTCATGTTGCTAGCTCATAAAAACAATGGCTATGGAATATTGGTATTCAGATTTGAATTTACAAGTCTTCAGAATAATCTGTGGTGCTTAGATAGACTACCGTAAGGATTTTCCTCAAACTGGGACCAATTATTCAATATGATTCCAGCTCTTTTGTTTTCAATTGACTAGGATAACAAGTTTCTCGGAAAATCAGGAAAATGACTTTCAAAAAAACAAGTTCCATAAGTGACATTCCATCCTATTCACCCCTACCTGGACTAAGATTATATGTAAATGCTACTCTATTAGTTACGATATTTCTACTTACCAAACACTAGAAAAAAAGTTACTACAATACTAAATAGTTTTCTTTACCAATCACACCCTTAGTCTTCTTTCTTTTCAATCTAAATTTTGCATTCCCTCCTTAAATCCCATGGTACTAAATGGTAGTACTGGGGACCCTTTTTTTGTTTTCTTTCTCCTCCCCGGTCCCATAATTGTTTCCTCCAATCATGTACGTACTAGTCTTAATCGTCTTTACTCTTGAAAAATAAGTAATTAATGTTTTTTTTTTAAAAAAAATCTTTCTTTATTATATTGAAAGTCGAAAATAAAAATAAATGGAGAGAATTAATTGAAAGAAAAAACACAAGAATCCAACTACTCCTCAACATTTTTGGACCAGTCATTCCCCGATGGCTCGTGCTTCATAATCATTTGACTCTGACAATTCTTAAAATAGTAAGTATAGTCTATTATTGCTTTCTTTTACACGGTTTGGGATATTGATTTGATCGAATTCAGTAGTTTCTGTTTGTATTATGTATTTATTTTAAAAATTTATTGTATATGTATTGACTACTTTTAAAACTTTTTGTTTGTCAAGATTTAAATTACGTAAATTTTGAATTAAAATCTTTAATTATATTGATATGAGACAAGTTATAACTTATACAAGTATATTTCATGTAACTTTTTAATACTTAAATTTTAATTTTAAAATATTGAGTTGATCTAATCTAGTTTAGCTTCAAAGATTTGTTAAATTTACTTTCAAGAAATAAAAATAGCACATAAATTGAGACGAGGAAAGAATTAATATAGAATTCAATTATTCAAAAAAGACTAGAATTTAAAATTCATAAATTAAATTTCAAGTACCTCCGTCTCCAACTTTGAATGGATATTTAGTTTTGATTTGAGGAGGATTCAAAAATTAAATTTGTAATTTTAATTTTTCTTGAATTGAAATTTATTATTGCCGGAGGATTAATCTTCTGAATACAAGAGAAGCATGAGTGAAGAGAATAAACTCTGGCGTCATAAGATAAGGAAGACATTAAACGATAGTGTGTAATACGCAATGTATGGGTTAAATAAATGTCACGAGTTTGAAATCTTATTTTTCCACCAAATAATATCAAATTAATTGTCGAAAATATTGACTCATCAACTAATTTCAACACCCATTCGTCAATCCTCGCTGAGATGGATATTTTCGATGTTGCCTTTACTAAATACCCAAAATTAGTGGACATACAGTATACACCAAGTATAATATGTGTGTATATATTGTATAAGAAGTGTATATATTTATATTGCCTATAATATGTCTTTTGATTTTATGTGGTCATTCGGTTATCAATATTTTCGGATGGCTACTTTATGTCCTTTGCCCCATTTTGTACTTCATATGAAATTTGAAGGCTGGCCCCATTGGCCCAATTCATATACTAATACTGAATATACCCTTACTATATTTATAGTATTTTTCATATAGTTTTTGAATATATAAATTTTTTGTTTAAAATATCAAATTAATGTAATCTAATTTAATTTTGAAAACAAGTCAAATTGATTTTGTAAAGCGCAACATGACAAATAGAACTGGACGGAGGAAGTACCTTATAGCAGTTATTTTTCCGGTTTTAAGAAGGTATAGCTCTCGTCTCAGTTTTTTCTTTGAAATCGGAAAATTTGAAGTAGGTTTTGTGAGAATTAGCAGTTAACTAGGTTTGAATTCAAGAGGATATATGCTTAGAATACCATGATGTAACTTGGGAAGACCAATTTTGAATAATTCAATGCTGGAGAATGGAACATATTGACAACATAGACAAGCTAAAACCTCTTTAGCTATTTCTTAACTGAAGTTTTGGGTACAAAAAAGAGCAAACCAGCTGAGAAAATTCTATGTACATAACCCAAAATCCCAACTGGGAAACTCAAAATATATGCTCAGGTTACCCTTCATAATTCCATAAAACTGGCATTTTCCGATGTATGCATCATCAAGTTAAGAAGAGCTAGGACGACACGTTTGAGTTGGAATTTATGACACTGGGTATAGGATTCTGCTGATGGGAAGGCCATGGATTGCGTTCCGGTTGACAAGGTGCAGGAGCAGGATGAGCAATAAAAGTTGGAATGTCATTTCCTGGCATCAAGACTGAAACTTCTTTGGCATTTGTAGATACCTGAAGCAATCAAATGTTTTCACATGTGTTACATTTCATAAAAGATTCAATGTGAAAGTAAACTAGACGATTAAGAGGTACAATATAACAAATCGCAACTGCTAAAAGACTTGTTATCGACTCTTTTGTATCTTTCTATTGTCAGATATATATACTGCAAGTTTTTAAGATTCTCCCACTCTTAGTTATGTTATCCAAAGAGGGACTAGGTGTTTGATCTTGTATATATGTATGTGTAGTTTAGCTGCTAGAAGCAAGGAACACGAAGAGATGAATCCAAGTCTTTCGAAGGATTATCCATATGCCAACCAAACAATGAACCATAGCTAAATTAATCGATGGCCTTCTAACTTAGTTGGGCACTAAAACACACAATAATTGTAGGCCAACCTAACTCTGAACATCACTATGTGTGTTAATACAATATGTTACCTTCTGACTCACTTTAGCTTTCTATATTTAATTTCCTAAAGGTTAATTGTACATGTTCATCTATGATTCCTTTACATTTCACATTATGTTTGGTTGGTGGAATCCAGGCTGAATGTTTTATTTTATGGGGGATAAATATGGGTACCAATGAGTGCCTTCCAGCACATAAAAACTCACCCCACCCCCCCCAAACACACACACACAAAAGGTCAACTCAGTTTCTCAAGTGAAAAATCTTTTTCCACTCATACTATTAAAAAAAAATTCAAGTGAAATGTAAGTTAAAACACTACTTCAACTTCAAAAAATTATGTTTCTGAATTCCAATCAATTCTGCAACCAAACGCGCATACTTAGTATCTAAACTTGAAGCAGGTTAAGCATATTAAGCCTGTTTGTGCATCTGTAAGAAGGATTAGCAGGGACTAAGAAGATAAATCATTTTAAAAGTTGTGAAGTTCCACACAAAAAGGCACCAGGATAAAGAGAAGGGGGACAAAAGTCCCAATAAAGGAAAAATTTGCGGATGGTTTAACATAAAGTTGATTTCATACAAGGAGAAAAAGATTGGAAGAATTGTTAGTTATGACAGCAAAAGGAAACTATTTGTCTATAATTGCATGTAGCAGTAGTACAGGGTGGAGAGAAGACATACTACTTCCTCCGGTCCCAAATATTAGTCGTTTGGTACGAAAAGATAATGTCTTTTTTATTTTTTTTAAAAAGTGAGTTTCTTGCTTATTTTTTTGTGTTCATTAAATAAGCAAGAAATATTATCCTAAAACATTAGATTATGTTTTTATATAATCTAGACAAATATGATCATAGAGGTGGAGAGGGAGACTGGGGACGGTGACAATTGGGGTGGGATGGAATATGAGGTGTGTTGGATGACCGGGAGGATACAATTAATGCAGAATGCCACTTGTGAAACTTGTTTTTCCCTACTTCCCTAGGGAAATCATTTTCCTTATTATTTTGGAAAAGCATTTTCCGAAAAATGTTTTCCTCCATACCGAACACAACCTAAGACTACTAAATGGGCAAAACCCCTCAAAAGATACAATATGAATTGGATAAAGTAAACAAGAAAAAACAAAGATTTTCTCAGGGTTGCCAATCTGTCTCCACTCCAGGAGTATTCCATGGAGGACATCATTAACATTGGTGGTGACTGGTGAAGGGATATATTAATGGAGGTGATGAACAAGGAGTGGGGGCAAAGACTTAATATACAACAAAAAAACAACAAGTAGGCATAAAGTCCCCAGATCTTATTAAAGAGGACCAACTGAAAAGCTAACTTCTTAAATGGAAGAGGGGCCAGGGCAATTGTTCAAACACAAAATTAATGTGAGTGTTTTCTTGTGTATCACAATATGAAGAATATGCACATGCAAATATATAGTTTTATAATTCATAGACCTCTTAAAAAAATATTTATCATCTTTTATAGTTCCACAACTTGGGTTTCTGCTGTAAAGTAGTAGCAACTTTTTCTTTTTTAGATGATCGGAGTGTCTAGACCAACTTTTACACACCTCGACTAATTTCACGAGATAACTGTCACTTACCACTAGTAAGTGATACCAGATAACTTTGTCCACTAAGGGACGGACAAATGGGAAGAATCAAATATGTTATTCCACATTAATGTCACTAAAAGCCTCTGAAATGCTCTCACTGACACAAGTCTTGGAAAAAATGAGTCAAGATTTATGAAATGAGAATTTATTCTACTGTTTCTGCAAAAAATTATGGGATATTTACCTTAGCCCATCCCCCACCCCACCCAAAACATAAGAATTTGAAAACTTGAGAAAAATAGATGGAATATTTTACTAATAAAATAAAAAGGGAAATAAAGGGAAGAAATTATTATTCTAGTGACTGAAAATGGCACACAGGTATATCAATTATAGTAGAATTTAAACCTGTATGACAATTTCTTAGATGGGACAGATTTCATTCTAATAAACAGCAACACAAATTAAAGATTGCAATACTACATATATTCTGCAAAGCACAGAGAAATATTAAAACCTATATGAATTAAACAATAAATACATTGACACCTATTTTGTTTAAATATATTATCTTTCTAAGAAACAATAAAGCAAAATACTAACAACTCATGTAAAATCCAAATAAAAAAGGTTAAACATCAAATTCCTGCTCATCATTTCCTAACCTAATTCACAATTAGCATTAGCTACAATACAAAAACTTCAAAACCCCAAATGGTCAATGTAACAATAAATAATCCAACTGACATTTAGCAGAAGACTATTTGCTCCGTTTCAATTAATTCGTTTTACTTTTCAGCGCAACTCTTTAATTCTAAGATTCCACCTAACGCGCTTAAGACCGTAAAATTAAAAGACATTTTGATACATTTAAAATAACTTAAATTCAAAATCAGATAAACAAATAGAAACTAGTGAGTATTTCCAAAAAGGACCCTGAAAGTTCACAAACAAGAT